TGTTGTTCCTCTAATTTTTGCATGGCCTCATTGTGACGTTGGAGGAGGCTCAGGGTGGACATGTCACCAAGGGAGTGGGAGGGGGAGTTGAAATGGCTGGCAACTGGAAGGTGGTGTTAATTAGAGCGTACGGAGTGTAGATGCTCCGTGAATCGGTCACCGAGTCTGTGCTTGGTCTCTCAGATGTAGTGGACACCGCATCGGGAGCAACGGATGCAGCAGAGCAGGTTAGAAGATGTACAGGTGAATCCATGTTGGATACGGAATGATTGTTTGGGGCCTGGGATGGGGGTGAGGGGGGAGGTGTAGGGGCAGGTGTAGCACCTCCTGGGGTTGCAGGGAAAGGTGCCAGGGGTGGTGGGGTTACTGGGGAGTGTGGAGTGGATGAGGAAGTTGCGGAGTGAGCGGTCTCTATGGAAAGCAGACAGGCATGGGGAGGGGAGTATCTCCAGTTGTGGAGTCTGATTGCAGGTGGTGAAAGTGGCAGAGGATGATGCGTTGGATTCAGAGGTTGGTGGGGTGGTCTGTGAGGATTAGGGGGACTCTATCCTTGTTGTTGTTGTGGGGAGGGGGCTTGAGGACATAAGTGTGGGAAATGCAGGAGATGTGGTTGAGGGAATCATGAATCATGAGAGAGGATGTTATGGTCCTTGAAGTAGGAAGACATCTGGGATGTCCGGGAGTGGAATGCTTCATCCTAGGAGCAGATGTGGTGGAGGCGGAGGAATTGGGAGTATGGGGTCGCATTTTTCAGGAGGGTGGGTGAGAGGAGGTGTAGTCAATGTAGCTGTGGAAGTCGGTGAGTTTGAAATAGATGTCAGTGCTGAATTGGTTGCCAGAGATGGAGACAGAAAGGTCCAGGAAGGGGAGGGAGGTGTCGGACATGCTCCAGGTGAATTGCCGGAGATGGAGATGGAGATGGACAGACCAAGTGCAGACTCGGTGACCGATTCACAAAGCATCTGCGCTCTGTACGCTCCAATCAACAACACCTTCCAGTTGCCAGCCATTTCAACTCCCCCTCCCACTCCCTTGGCGACATGTCCATCCTGGGCACCCCCACATGTCACAATTAGGCCACATGAAAATTGGAGGAACAATACCTTATATTCCACCTTGGGAGCTTATGGCCCAATGGCCTCAAATTGGAATTCACCAGCATCAAAATCTCCCCACCCCCAGCCTCATTCCATGTCCTCGCTAGCCCTGCCTACCAACTTGGTCTGAATTAACATTACCCACACAGTCTCTGGCCAGTTCATCCGTTTAGTCAATTTTTCAAAGGAAATGAAAAACGCTTCTACATCTTTTTCATCAAATTTTTGTAATGTTTGGATATATTTGTATATATCCCTACCAAGCCTTTGCCTATGATGGGTTTGTTCATCATTACTATCTTCCTCACTAAGCCTTGCTTCTACCTTCACATCTGCCCTTTTAAGTTGACTTTCCTGTCTAATAGCCAACTTCTGAAATTCAAACTCTCTTTCTCCCTTTCTTCTTTTTTACTTTCGTTCTGCTAAGAAACTTCTTTCCCTTTCGTTATTCTCTAATTCCAGTTGTCTCATTTGCGATTTAATTTTTTCTAAGTCCACTGCACTTGAATGTTTCTCTGATATACCCAAACACTTAGCTAACTCTGTTACAATTTCAGATTTCTTATTATCCCTAGTTAAACCCAATTTTAGCCTGTCTGCTAATTCTAAAAGTGTCACCTTTCTCTGTCTTTCTAAATTTTCTTGGCAAATTTGCAAAGCATCTTGGACCCCCAGAACCTCTTTAGCAATGTTAAGAGGCATTGCCCCACTTTTGATTTAGCCAACAACAAGAAACCAAAATTAAACAGATTTTCCATTTTTCACTTAAGTTTTATCTAAAGATCTAGGTCACTAGTCCCCAAGTCTGTTTAAATCTGCTGGGACCTTTTGTACCCTAAATCTGTCCAAAGCCCGGACAGCAAGCCCCCAATGTGCTGTAAAGCAGAGGTGGACCCTGCCCCCACCCCCAAGAACTGAAACCGAAATACCCAAAGAGGAGCACCAAACTCTATAATCTGTGAAAGGAGAGTGAAAAGTGGTGTTTAACCTGCTTCTCAGCAACTTCTGGTGGTTGAATAAATGAATCCCTGACACTTACTTTAAAATCAACAAGTAACAATTTATTTGTCCAAATGTGAACAAAGTAACTAAACTATTAACAAACTGAATAACCCCCTTCTAACTCCTAACTATTCCTGAATAAAGCAAGATTCTAATGGCATGCTGTTCCAATAAATATAAGTCCCACTTATACAAAATAGAAAAAGAATTTAGTCTCTCGAAATTACAGCCGGGTTACATGTCTTCCTGAATGTTCTGTGCCTTCTCCGAATATTCTTCTGTCAGGAATATTAACTAGTCGTGCCATTGTTATTTAGATGTGCTTTCTCTAAGACAAAGAGGAGGCTGCGAGAGCCAGCAATTCTCTCTTGACAGAGAGCTGAGGGTCGTTAGCTCTGGTGGATGGCAACTAGCTCTGGGGCTTTGTCCAACTGCTTCCTTCTTTTTATGTCCTTGATGACAATCAATATTTCTTACAATAGGATGTTTCAGGTCAATAACCTTTCATTATGACCTTGAACCTGCCTGTGGCCACTAAATGTTTATTTCAAAGGATCATTGACAAACTTTAACACTGTTGTGCTTGAAAGCAAGTAACATCTGATGAAGGGTCCAGGCCCGAAAC